GTCGGTACGTATGAATGTAGTGCAAACAGCGTGCACTTGATGACCGGCGTGGCTGAGGTACAAGGACCTAGCCGAAAGGCCAGTGTACGCATATTCATCGACCCAGGTGCGCAGGCATCGTTCATCACCGCGCCACTGGTGAACTCGCTGCAACCGGCACACCTTGGATCGCAAACTGTCAAGCTGAAGGCGTTTGACGTGGAGCCGAAGTTTGAAAAGATGGACAGGTACCGTGTCACCATCAAGGGTGCAACGAAGTCCATTTCCGTCAAGGCCTGGCAAAAGAAGTCGCTAGGTCTCCGATTCGATCCGCTAGCAGACAGCACAATTGCACGTTGGCAGTCACAGGGATTGCAGCTGTCTGATGACTCGACAAAGGCCGGATCAAGCGAAGTGCACATGCTGATTGGAGCTGACTACTGCAATGAGTTCCTTCTCCGCAAGGAGCAAATCAATGGAGAGACGGCCTGGCACACTGAAATAGGCTGGGTGCTGTCAGGACCGGCTAATAGTGAAACCAAGTCAGCGACCGTCAGTGTGAGTTGTATTGAACTTGACCGACTGTGGAAGATGGAAGAGGTGCCGGAAATAGCTGAGACGTTACCGGACTTCCCGATAGAGCGGCAAGGCCCTCATTACCAAGTGGGATTGCTATGGCGATCTGAGAAGCGTCCGCCAGCCAACCTAAACCAAGCGATGGCAGCGGCACACTCACTGCTGAAGCAGCTACAGAGACGAGGTCAACGTCTAGCGTATGATGACGTCCTCATCACTGAGTACTTGAAGCTGGATGCCATTGAAAAGGAACCGCATCCGGAGGAAGCCGGCTATTACATGCCGCATCATGCCGTATTCCGTAGCGACGCCTCAACGACAAAGACACGGGTCGTCTTCAATGCATCCGCCGCCTGCACCGGAGCACCATCCCTAAACGACATGGTCGATCCCGGGCCATCACTCCTACCGGATCTCACTGGTATCCTCCTCAGGTTCCGTGAGTATGAATGTGCTGTACAAGCCGATATTCGCAAGGCTTTTTTTATGATCGGAATGCGTGAAGAAGATAGGCCATATCTGCGTTTTGTTTGGCCTGAGATAGGTAGCGAAGAAATGTGTATCTGGCGTTTAAAGAAGCTGCCTTTTGGAGTGAATTGTTCTCCTTTCATACTTAGTGCTGTGCTGCGCTTTCATCTCGATAGTGCATTCGAGTCTGCTTCTGCTGCTGAGCGTGATATCATAGAGCTGCTGCTGCGTAGTTTTTATGTTGATGATTGCGTTTCTAGCTTGCCATGCTGTGCGGATGCTGAAAAGCTGCAGGAGTATAGCGTTAATGTTTTGCAGGGAGCAGGCATGGAGTTGCGGAAGTGGCGAGGGAACACGATGACCTCAGACCCCGAGGCTGGTTCCAAGGCACTGGGTATTGTGTGGAACACCGAGTCAGATTGTATTTCGGTGGCTGCGCTCGGTGATGTTGAGTGTCCCAAGGAAGTGTCTGGTTGGTCTCGTCGTGCTTTGTTGCGTTGTGTTGCCGCTGTGTTCGATCCGCTAGGTTGGGCGTCACCCGCAGTGGTGCCAGGCAAGATGATGTTGCAAGAGAGTTGGAAGCTCGGCGGTGGTTGGGATGACCCATTCCCTATTGATTTGGCTGTCCGATGTGCTTCATGGTGGGGAGAGCTCGCAGCGCTTTCTTCCGTTAAAATCCCCAGATGGATCGGGTGTACTCCAGATGCTCCAGTCACTTTGCATGTATTCTCAGATGCATCCGAGAAGGGCTATGGCTGTTGTTTCTATGTTGTGTCCGGTTTGACGTCTTCTTTGTTGTGTGCGAAGGCGAAGGTTGCACCTGTTGTACGTCCCACTCTTGCGCGTCTGGAATTGTCGGCTGTGTGTCTTGGCGTGAAGATGTTGTCCTTTGTCGTCAATGAATTGAGAGTGCCAATTGAAAGGATTGTGGGGTGGACAGACAGCCTAACCACATGGCACTGGATCTCAAAGCCGTCGTATCACTGGAAGACGTATGTTGCTAATCGAGTTGCTGCAGTGCAAGAAGTTTCGCAGAAGCTGCAAGTAGAATGGCGTCACTGTCCAGGAGTTAGCAACCCTGCAGATCTTGTCTCGCGTGGTGTCCCAGTGTGTGACTTGCAGAAGGAGATGTGGCTGCATGGTCCGTCATGGTTGAGCGATGAGTCTCAGTGGCCACCAGTCATCTCGTTTCAGAGCACCAATGAGTCCGTCACCGAAGCACGCGTGTCGGCTGTGGAGGTTGACACTCCAGTTGTTTGGCCGTGGGAGAAGTTCTCCAAGTGGCAACGAGCTCGCGGTTTGGTCGCAAGTATGCTGTCATGGCGACACAAGGGTGTTTCGCGTGCAGAATTGATTCCATCTGCTGAGTCTGTGATGTTTCGCGCCATCCAAGAGCAATGCTTCCCCAAGGAGTTGTCCCAGTTGCGGAGCAAGGAGCCACTGAAGAAGGGTTCGAAGCTGTTCAAGTTGTCTCCGTTTCTGGATGAAGCTGGTTTGCTCAGAGTTCGTGGTCGTCTGCAGGAGAGCGATCTGTCCTACGAGGTTCAGCATCCGATCATCCTGGGCAGATGTCATCTAAGTGAGTTGTTTCTGCGTGATGCTCACCTTCAGCGAATGCACCAGGGTGTAGAGAGTGTGCTTGCGTTTCTACAACAGCAGTTCTGGATTCTCGGAGCTCGTCGGTTTCTTCGTAGCGTGTCGGAGAAGTGCATTGTTTGCCGCAGATTTCGCGCACAGACTGCTGCTGAGGAGATGCCGCCGTTACCCTCAGACAGGGTGAAGCACCACCAGCCATTCGGTCTCACAGGTATTGATTACGCAGGTCCGTTGTACGTGCGCAGTTCATCAAATGTTCAGAAAGTGTGGGTCGCACTCTTCGTGTGCGGTACTACTCGCGCAGTGCACCTAGAGCTCGTGGATAGCCTGTCGACAGAGGTGTTCCTGCTAGCATTGCGTCGTTTCATCGCCCGTCGTGGGAAGCCGCTGCGTATACGTTCAGATAATGCTACGACGTTCAAGTCCGCCGCAGACAAGGTGGCAATCCCGTGGTTCTTCAATCCGCCATCTGCCCCGTGGCATGGAGGGTTCTATGAGCGTCTGGTGGCATGTGTGAAAGCTCCCTTGAAGAAGGTTCTCGGTCGAGCGTCATTGAGTCGAGACGAGCTGTTCACTGTCTTGACGGAGATCGAGAGAGTCGTCAACTCTCGACCCCTCACTCCGGTTTCTACGGATGTAGCTGACGAGTCGCCGCTGACTCCAGCCATGATGTTGGGAGACATCTTTGCAACCGGTATTGCCTCGTCTGACAGACCACTCGATCCACGGCAGTTGTCCGCTCGAGTCAAGTATGTCCACACCGTCTACGAGCACCTCAACCAGCGTTGGTCGTCTGAGTATCTCATTCGTCTCGGTGAGTATCATCGGTCGAAGTCAACTCCGATTGTCGTGAACGACGTTGTGTTTATTGCCGACGACAACCGGAAGCGGCAATCATGGCGCTTGGGTAGGGTCGCAGAGCTGTATCCTGGAAGAGATGGCAAGTGCAGGGTGGCCAAAGTCCAAGTTGGCCAATCGTCCATGCTACGGCCCATTCAACGCTTGGTTCCGTTGGAAGTAGCGAAGGAGCATGTTGAGCCGCCTGCTGTGGACGCTGAGCCGCAGCCGCAGACACCCGCGAGCGCTGATCCAGTCAACGTCGTCGATGCTGTTGAAATACCTTCGACGACCGTTGAACCGCAAGTTACGCGTCGATCTCGTCGTACCGTTCGACCACCACCTCGTCTTGATTTGTGATCAGTGTGGTTGAAGCCCTTTGGTGGGGAGAATGTTGTGTATCGTGTCGGAGAAAGGTCTTCTGGGGTGTCGTCGAGATCTCGTTGCGACCGTGACTCCTGCTTGTCTCCCTGGCTAGGTGCTGCTTGCTTTGCTTTTTTGCGTAATGTTTTTGATTATTGTTTACTATTGCGTATTGTTAGTGTTCGTTGTGATTTGGTACAGTACTTGTTACGAGATACGACACATTGTGTAGTGTGTGTTTGCAGCACGAAGAAGACTGCACACCAGAACGGTTAGCTCAGGAGCTTGGGCTTACCTTGTGCAATCACAGTTCATCAGCTTGGACATTGCGCTTGGTCCCATGCGAATAACCGACTAGAATAGTAATTATTTCTTCGTTGCATTTTTGAATTGTGTTCTTGCTAGCTCGTTGATTTATTTAGTTGATGTGTTGATTTGTGTTTGATTACTTATTTATTTGATGCGCGATTTATGTGCGCTGATTGCGTGATGGCATGCAATTATGATCATGCTTGCGCCAGCTAGCTAGATGCCTGCGCCGCGCACTGATGTTGAATGAGTTAGTATGCGCCCCGCGCTGTTCATGCATATATGGTACATGGTGTGTAATGTTTGCCGCACACGCGTATACGTGCCTCGCCTCGTACTGCTTATGTGCCGCACGCCGTACTATTGCTGTCACTTTGCCGCCAAATTTAGCTTCCGCTTTCCGAGCGCTGTACGCTCTTCTGTACGCTCATGCCAAAGTTGGACGCACGTTGTGGCTGGCCAGCGCTTTACCCCTCATGCGTTGTTCTTTTCCTTGATGCTGTGGTTTGTTTTTCTTTAGTGTTCTAGAGTTCTCTTTCCGATGTAGTTCGTATTTTTCCAGTCTCTTCTTCTCAATGTATTCTACTGTTCATTCATTATAGTCCGTAAAGAATTACGTGACCTTTTGTCTTGTGGCGTCTGTGCGATCCTGAAACTTTTGAGGTGTTAGTAGTGAACACAACACTGGTCATATCCAACTGCCCTCAGGACCTGGTCTGGTGAAATGTATCTGGTCATATCCAACTGCCCTCAGGACCTGGTCTGGTGAAATGTATCAAGTGTTCCAACTGCCCTCAGGACCTGGTCTGGTGAAATGTATCAAGTGTTAGTCACATTGACTTCGTTTTTGCTCTTTTTGCTAATCCTTGTAGGTTGGATGCACACAGGCGACTATCAAGAGATGCTGAGATTCAAAGCAGCCTGTGAGTATGAATCAGTAGTTGCATACAACCTTCACTTCTCGTTAAAGCAAGGTGGGCGCTAATACCAGAAGTCACTTTACCCAGGTTTAGTTGTGTTGCATGTATGTATGTATGTGTGTATGTATGCATGTATGTGTGTATGTATGTGTGTATGTATGTATGTATGTATGTATGTATGTATGTATGTATGCATGTATGTGTGTATGTATGTGTGTATGTATGTGTGTATGTATGTGTGTATGTATGTATGTACTTGGTCCGCCCAGTTACAATTGGCGCTTATCTTCACACTTGTCTCAGGAAGGAAATACGAATATTTGAAGCAAGCCACGATCACAAAGCACTATATACATGATTGTTTACATGTCAGTAAGCAACTCAGTCAAAAATTCAAGCAAGTTACACATCCTCCTCGCCACTATCGTCGCTGGAGGAAGAGCTCAAAACGTTCGATCCGGACAGCTGCTGCACGTTTCATAGCTTGTTCCACTTCTCCTCGTCTCGAATCACGTTCAAAGGCAGTGCGTGCCTATCACCTTGCCGATCAGAAGCTGAGTGAGACTGCCCGCATGTTGGCTGTACGTGTTGTCCCCGTTCGTCGCAATAATGCGACTTTGTTTGAGACAAAAAGGCAACGCCATATCAGTGTCCTCTTTTCAAATCGCCTCTTGCGTTTGTCGTTGCTGATCAGCACCCACGTGAGCCTCTGGTGCTTGCACATGCAGCGCAGTGTAAGCTTCTGCTTGATGTAGCACCTGTGCGTACTGCACCTAAGTCCTAACGCCGTGTACCAGGCTTTTCGGCTAGTTTCCTGAAAGTCCTTTGCACGAGTGTTTCCCTCAGGACTTGGTGTTTATTTTGATTAGCTCCACTGCCCTGTCCTCCGTGAGCTTCGAAGTGAGTCCGCCGGATTGGTCTCACTTTCTAGAGATTTCGACATGAGCTGCAGTTTCTTCGTCAGCGATTTGCTGGTGATAGCCCTTCACTAGGCGCTTTACTGTGCAAGCACTGAAATTCAAGCTCGCGAAGCGCTTTTTCAGCTTTTCTATACCTCCCCGGGGTAAACCATCCTTGCCATCAGGCAGCTGGAAGTAGATAGAAACTGTATTCTCCATCGCTCTGAAATGCGAACATCCTGACCTATTTTACGGACTCGAGCGGAGGTTGCAGTGTTTTCTTGCGCTGACGGAAGTGTTCGTCGGCGGCAGCTCCGTCAAAAAGACTCAAACGAACCGATCGCAACTTCTGTGATGATTTGTGCTGTCATGTCGTCGGATGCAATGGTCAATGGTTATGTTCGGATGCTGAATCGGTGATTCCAAGCCGTGTGACATAGGCAGAACACCGAAAAACCAAGTAAGAAGATAAACACCAATTTTAACTTGGTGGACCAAGTACACAGCTGGAGGCGCTGGCCTTGCAGCTGAGAGTATGCATCTGGTACACTATACTACACGTTCTACTCAGGGTTTAGGAAATGTGCGTTTCCTTCTCCGTTTGTACGGCTCTGACGAGGAAAAAATGGTATATCGTGGCACAGTTAATGTGTAACACTCGATGTATGTTGTATGAACAATCAAGACAATGATATGTACATAATTAGGATGCTGGCACCGGTCATTCCATTGGATTTCATTTTCCACACTTGTACCTACATGTATGTACTGGTTATGATCCATGACTATTTGAGCGAACTACAAATTATTATTATTTAGGGTATTGCACCTTGCATTGATCTACATGGATCGATTTTCGAATGGTCGGTAGTGAGAGTGGTTTTAAAATGATAAGGATACTTTCTCTTTCCCCTTTCCTGTATTGTGATTGGTTTGGGGAGACGGTCTAAGCTCTGTTTAGGCGACAGCTAGCTATTCAGATGTTGAATCGTCTTCAAGAACTGCATGTGGGCAAGAAACTACAACGTAGAATACATGTGTGCATTCCTACTACAGCACCATCGGACCATTGGTGTTTCCCTAGCTCACAGACCCAGAAGATCCACCTTCTACTTCCAATTGCTTCCGGTCGTTGTTGTGTGGGTATTATTGCCTGGGTATTCTTATGAGTGAGATATGTTCTGACTGCAAAAAAGGCTTAAGTTGTATTGTTGATATGCTCATGTGATACTGCTCATAGAGATGCGTCACCTGTGAACTTTGCCAGACCACAAACACCAGATGCAGTGACAGACAGCAAGCCTGCGTTCAATCCTGCAGAAGTGGCAGCCAAACTTGCTCAAGTCCGACAATACGATAGTGATGACAGCAGCTCGAGTCCCTCTATCTTATCACCACCTTTCGCAATTAGCTTAGCTTCTGCGGACCAAGCTGATGCTCAACAACGCAGGCTCTCCCTTCCCTTGAGTCCGAAATCAGCAGGTCCCCTAACTCCATTGTTTGAAGAGTCGTACCCAGAGTCAATGGTACTCAAAACACCACGTGGGCCCCAAGTTGACACTGTAGCACATCATCGCAGCACAGTACGCACACCCTTGTCCTCACCGCCAGCAGTTGTGAATACTGGTAGTACAGGTGATTCCACCACAGCTGTGGGCGACACAGCTTTTGGAATGCAAAGTATGGTGGATGCTAATGTTGTTACACGGAGGCTAGAGCTGGAGCATTCTGCACAAATGAAGCAGGCTACACAGCGCTGGGAGGAGGAGAAAGCACAACTGCTCAGTGAAATTCAACGGTAAGCATTTAATAAAAACTCGGTTGTTGAGCCAATAGTACATGTAATGTGTAAAGTGAAAAGGTGTCTGGTCATCGAATGTCTCAATATCCTTGTCAGTTTTGTGCCTTGCTGTCGCACGATCTGATTATTATCTCGTAACCTCGGTGGACTGTTTGCCATAACTAGTAACTTATAGGTCCTTTTCTCTTTACGTAAGCATTTTATGTTACTATAAGTTTGCTTTGGCTTTCTAACTCTTTCCACGTTATTGGCAACAGTGAATTGTTTTGGAGATAGTGTGCTGCTTCTAGTAACTGGTCTTGTAATGCAAAAACTCAGAGAGCTGGAAAGTAATGCCAGGCTGCTGGCAGCACCTGGCTTGTGAGGCGCCGCAATAAACCTACACTGTGCCACATTAGGGTTGCTAAGCAATGCCAAGCAATTGGTAGCAGCTGTCTCATGAAGAGCCGCAACTGGCTAGTGATGGGCTGCAACTAGCGAAGCAAATGACCAGTTAGGAGCAATAGAGCAAAATGTTCCCGACTTGTAGTACCATTATCAAGATGGGAGGGATGGAGGGTGAAGATTGGATGGTAGCACGAGCTAGAAGTAAAGGAAGAATTTAACTTTGCAGTGACGCCAACAGCAAGAAAGAAAATGAAAGCAAGCTGTCACGCACATGCAGGAACAACGCCAATTTGATTGGTTTGCCATGGCAGATACATGTGACGTCAAGCTAGGCGTGCGCAAAGCTATAAGCTGGCAATATGAGTGCAGTGCCGCAAAGCGCTCAAGTAGTGGTGCGTGACGAATGCAAATACGGCAGTATGATCAGTGGCTGATAACACACACTAACTAGGGGAGTGAGCCAAAATCATGTTTTTGTGCTTCCTCCGCGTCATTACAATTGTCGCTTTGCACATCCCAATGTTTGTGACTTGCTTGTCTTAGTCGGACTCGGAATCGCTGTTTTCTGTGTTCCAACGTTGGTACGACTCTTCGTATGCAATGTCTACTGGTTGTGCAAGCCGTGGTGGTCTCGGAGCTCTCTTCCACACCGAACAAATGCATCGCGCTTCGCACTATTTCACCACAGAGCGCGTATCTTTTTTCTGGAGTTCATGCCGGCCCACATCGTTCGCGTGGGCATTTGTCAGGACCGCAAGCTCCGGTATAAGAATCCTGGTATCTCTCCCGAATTCAAAATGCTGAAGTTGACGATGGTAAGAACATGGTGTTCTCAAATACTTCCTAAAAACGCAGCGTGTGTCGCATGTTGCAGCGCAGGTCTGAAAACACCAACAAAATCTGCGAAACTCGGATGTTGAGCCAATAATAAATGTAGAAAGGAAAAGGACATATGGATACGAGTTAAGAGCAACTCTCCACCACTGTAACTAGATACTATATACAGTCAGAAAGTGCAACAACTAGGCACAAAACTGACAGATTGCTGAGACACTATTTGGTCTCTCCATAACCTTGAACCTTCCGAGTTCAAAGGGAAGGGTGTTGGTTAGCGCTACGGAGATGTGTTGAAGCTAGGTGTCAGGCCGTCGAATGTCTCAGTACTCTGTCAGTTTTGTGCCTAGTTGTTGCACTTTCTGACTGTATATCGTATCTAGTTACAGTGGTGGAGAGTTACTCTTAACTCGTATCCCTATGTCCTTTTCCTCTCTAAAATCAGCGAAGCGCTTGTTAAGGAAAGAAGGTGCTGAACTGCTCACCCCATCCATCTGGAAGGTTATCACGGCGTACTTGAAAAATGCTAGTTTGCCGGTATCACCTGCCACCTGAAGGCATGGATCGCTTGAAAACGAAGTTCCATATCCTGAATTTGAACGCGCATCTTGTTCAACGTCCTGTTGAGTGCTGAAGAGTCTGTCTCAAACTCGGATGAAAACATCTACCTCAGCCGCAAGTGCAACAAAACGGGAGGCCACAATTGCACAAACTCAAGCTTAGTTCGTCCACAATGCTCTGCCTCAATTTCAAGTTGATTTCTTTGCTTCGTGGGGACAGCATAGATTTGAAAGAATCGCTCTGGGAAGTGACAATTGTAACACCGCGGAGGAAGTAGAATCTTGGGAAATGGTCTTTTTCAAAAAAGAAAGGAAGGAGACGGATCCTTGCTGATGCCACTGTGTCGTGTACTCCCAACATGACCAACACATGTTGGTTCTTACTTTGTCTCTCCGCAAACCTGTACAAGAGAGGCATTTGTACTACGCTGCGTAGACTGCATACTGTAAAAGTCATTATTCTAACGAGGCGCATATATAACGATCTCCGAAATTAACTGGTTTACGTGTACGAAAGGTAACGATTCTCACTCATTCTCACTCATTCTCACTCATTCTCACTCATTCTCACTCATTCTCACTCATTCTCAACTCTCAATAGCAACAGTATATGTATCGATTTCTGTATAACAATTTCTATTTTAATGACAGATTTCTCCTCGTTAACTCATTGGAATTAGCATTTCGTTATATATATACATGTACAAACAGGGGCGTGCTCGGCCCCCCAACTAGGGGGGTGCACAGGAGCCGAGGGGAGCCCCCTGGCAATTTTCTGCAATTTGTTTGCAACCTTTCTTGAATTTTAGAGCATATTTGCATACATTACAATTGCAATTACAGTTGAACATCGATTATCCGCACATCGACTATCCGACCATTCGATTATCCGTAACAGTTTTTTTGGGCGCACGTGCCGTAGAGTACGCACTGTGCATGTAGTGAGCCATTCAAAAAATACGAACATTTTGAAAAGTAAAAAGGTCGTACATGTACATGTACATGTTTCTTATCCGGAACATTTGCCTTATCTGAACACCGCCTGACAGTTGTCTGCCCAGAGGTGGTCGGATAATCGATGTTCAACTGTACCCAGATTGAAAATGTTTGGGGGGTGCACGTGCCCCCCGTGCCCATCGCCGAGCACGCGCCTGACAAAGGTCAAAAAGAATGGTTCCACCAATCGGAAGCCATAAGATGTTGAATAAATAAATTATTTATACATACGTTGTAACGCTGCGTTTCATGCACGTAGCTAAATGCTAAGGCAAACATCAGACAACTAATGCTTTTTTCGCGGGATAGCTTGTTCTTATTGTGGGGGATACGCATGGGTATGTAGAGGAGGTGCGAGTTATCAATGCAGGGCATGCATGGGAAGAGCGAGTGATAAGAATTACATCACTGGATGGGCATGCGCAGTAGGCGCGAACTATGCATGGAGCGTGCAGAGGCGGAGAAACCACCAGGCAGGAAAAGGGTAAGCCATGGGGGCACTGGGCAGGGGTGTGATGTGTGGCGGTGGAAGCACACTGTGGTGTCCACATTCAACAGCCGCGGGTATTCAGAGGATGTGGCGGTGATAGTGGTAGCACGCGGTGGCTATGTCACGGCAGAGTAGGTGGAGAGGTAGAACTTGTTTTGGTGTCTGCACTTTGATACCAACTCCGACCTCTTGTTGAGCAGAGTGTGAGGCGTCTAACCAAAAGGTACTAACGCCTGGTGAAGAGAGATCTGCGGCAGGGTGCAACTGCCGAGCCAAGCCATCATGCCCTTTGGGCGGCGGATGCTTGGAGGGGAAGTGGTGTACCAGGCCTCCGTCACAACCCCAAGTACTGGCGAGGAAAGGCAATACATCGGCCTGCGCGAGACGCCCTTCAAGGTGCGCTATGGCAACCATCTAACCAGCATGCGGCATGAAAAGTACCGTACCAAGACCGAGCTATCCGAGCACACATGGGCGCTGGCTGACCAAGATGAGGAATACAGTATCAAATGGGCAGTCATAGATCGGACCAAGTCCTACAGCAACATATCCAAAAGGTGCTGCTTGTGTTTAGCAGAAAAGTTGCGCATCATCACCTTCAAGACGCCTCACACTCTGCTCAACAAGAGGTCGTAGTTGGTATCAAAGTGCAGACACCAAAACAAGTTCTAACTCTCCACCTACTCTGCCATGACATAGCCACCGCGTGCTACCACTATCACCGCCACATCCTCTGAATACCCGCGGCTGTTGAATAGGGACACCACAGTGTGCTTCCACCGCCACACATCACACCCCTGCCCAGTGCCCCCATGGCTTACCCTTTTCCTGCCTGGTGGTTTCTCCGCCTCTGCACGCTCCATGCATAGTTCGCGCCTACTGCGCATGCCCATCCAGTGATGTAATTCTTATCACTCGCTCTTCCCATGCATGCCCTGCATTGATAACTCACACCTCCTCTACATACCCATGCGTATCCCCCACAATAAGAACAAGCTATCCCGCGACAAAAGCATTAGTTGTCTGATGATTGCCTTAGCATTTAGCTACGTGCATGAAACGCAGCTTTACAACGTATGTATATATAATTGGTGGAACCATTCTTTTTGACCTTTGTGGTTACGCTGCGCCCTTGTGGTGTTGAGCACTGTTGAAACCTGGGTATACCCACTTATGTATGTATAGTCCTATTTATCACGATGCCTTTGCCATAACCACAAAATTTGATCCTTTAGCCTCGGAGCTATTTTAACCTTTTTAGTATAGCATTTGTACTATAGTGTACATAGGATGTTGCCTATTTTGGGTACAAGACTGTAAGAACAACAGGGTTCAGCATCTGCAGCACAGTGGCTGGGTGGTACATGGGGTTACTTGAGATTCATACTGTTGTGGGTTTGAATCCTGCTTGCTCTCTACCTTTTTCTTCTTTCTTTCAATTTTTCTTTTTGAAGTGGAGAGAAAATTTCTAAGTCCTTCCAAAGTCGAAAGATTACAATGCCTAAGTGGTCGATACAAGCGGTCGATATTACAGCGATATGGGTAATATAGGACCAGTCAAGGATCACAAGAATTAGTGGAGGGCGATATAGAATAGTGATAAATATGTATCTATTATTGCACGATTAAAGAGGTCAATATAATTATTTCATATATTGACCGATCCGATTATGAGGGCAATAAAAGATTTATCACGACATAGCATACCTAAACTGTTTTTAGCTGTGTTTATAGGAAGAAAGGAATACTATTGTAATAGTACATAGTATGGACATTACCGCCGTTCTCTATGAACAGAAGTTTTCAGTTGTCACTTGTGGTATGTGCTCAATCACGAACAACAACACCATCGATATCGTAAAGAAATAGAGAATTTCAAAACCACAAACGACGTTTACCACTGAACAAGTGTGTCGGGAGACTGAGAAAGTCGGAAAGGTTTCTCTCCATTTTCTGGAAAGTTTTACTGCGCCTCGTACGCACTCGTACACGGGCAATACCGGCTTGATACATGACCTCACGGCTGGCGCCATTCGGTCATGTATCAGCCGGTATTGCCCTTGTACTCGTTTGTACTCGTGCAGTAAATCATACTTGAAGTACATATAA